ATCTAATGGTTGTATCTAGTTACTGCCTACTTATGAACAGCAGGAATTCAATGGTCCATAAATACATTTGTTTCAAATAAAACGATTGATTTTAACTTCCATCTCATCTTCGGTAAAAACAACTGGTCGTGCAAATATGATCTGCAACTTAGTTTATGAAGTTTTAGACCGTTGGTGCGTTATTGCTATGTATATATACTAATTATTATATTTATTTTTGAACCTATTTTTATTATAATTCAATTTCGAGAAATGAAATGTGCGGCAAATAGAAACAGGCCGGGAACTTTTCGCTAGTTTTTGTAAAGTTCTTTTACTAATTCGGAATTTATAGAAATTTACAGATTTATTTATTTCAACACGGATATTGGTACAAGGAGGCACCAAATACATATGCGACACACAAATCCCATTTGATTTGTGAGAGGGCTGTAATACTGCCCGGGTGCCCAAACCGAAGCAGGTGGTTTTCTTAGGGGGCCACACCCGGAGCCTTCGACCTGAAGGTCTGACCCACAAGGCAGTGGAGCATCGTAAGGAGATGCAGTCCCATGGAAGCCGGTGACCAACAATTGGTTCATACGCCATTTGTTCCCGCAGAATACTGGAGCCCATGTGCACCATTGGTTTGGAATCCGGTTAAAGCGCCGGATATTCGCTTTTCATCCTCTCATTTTCGTAAACAACACCCCCTACACGAGAAGGCAGTGAGTAGGACTTCCCTGGCATAGGCTATATACGCGTGGCCATGTGAGAGCATTTTGAGAGGGAGAGCAGACTCTCCCCACTCTCGGTCGTACCAGGGCATTTGGGGGCAAGCTACGAATATAACATTTTGATCAACAGTCATAATAACTTACGAATCGAATCTAAGACAAGATTATATATATATAATTGACAACTGAGTAATAACCAATATCCTATTGTCTAGTCTTTTTGTGCTAATTTATATCAATCAAGTTGCAGCGTGACCCATTAAGTTGTGGCTTGACACCTTAGGACACTGTTCTGATAAACAGCTTATTACCACTTTTAAAAATTTATCAGGACAAACGTCCAAATCTGTGGGTGTCTGTCCTCCTAGTTTGTTCGCGGTCTCTGAAAGCGTTAGAAATCACAAGGGTGACTAACTAGTCTTTCTCTTGACCAAGACATGAGTTTTCCGTGTTTGTTTGCTTTCACTCTTCACAAAGTCACTGGAAAAAAATATTTGAAGACTAATTAGTTCGAGTTTGTGGTTACAAGCTACTAAATGACCATAGTTTCCCTAACAACAGGTTGAATGAAACTTTATCATACATTGGAGTGTGAATCGCTGATATATGCACCTAACTCCTCTATGAATAGACATTTAATAACCTTATCTCTTAAAGAGGCATGTTTCTTGAGACTCTCCACGTGAATACTCACATGTGTTTAAACCAGTACATGGTCGTTGTTTAATCAAATACTCCAATACTGTAGTAGGGTCAATACTAGGAATAATTCGTTCTCATTTTCAAAATATTTTAATATCCCCCACATTTCGTTAATCATTTTAGAATAATTCCAAGTAAATTGAGCATTGGTTAGATTGTTATCAATGAAAACAATATATTTGTAATATCCCAATGAGTAGAAGAATTACACTTTTCTGACGTTTCGTAACTCAGTATAAGCTACCTCTTCAGGGAAAAAATAAACAAATGAAATTAATCCAGGTTTAAATAGTACAAAGGAACGAAACAAGAATATTTGTTGCGATCAATGAAGGAAATAGGTCTGACCAAGTCGATGTCGTCATTCCGGTCAAAGTGATTCATATGAGGCATGTTTGTGTATGCATGTTAAAGGATAAAAAATGTGACATTTGTCGTACAAAAGGATAGAGTTGAACTTTTCTACTCATTGGGATATTACAAATATATTATTTTCATATCAGAATAATTATTTTCATTACCTGTGAATGAAACGAATTTCTGTTAGTGTTAACCTACTTCCTTTTTTTATCAACTACAGTAATGATAACACTATCATATACATAATAGAAAGCTTAATCTTCTCTTGATTATGTTATCCAAAAATACCCATTTTATATCAACCCATGTACTTAATCTGTCTTGCTTCTATATGGCTTATACTGTTTCTTTTCTGCATTTTCATCATACTCAGGAGCTCGCTACCGTTGGTGTTTTGGGCGTTCTATATCGTCCTGACTTACCAAATAGCTGCTTACATAAAGTTGTATCTAACACGGCCGGTTTGAACCAAGCGTTCCATTTTTTCTGGTCAATTATAATTACACAATTGTCCGTCAATAGCCTAAGAAAATGCTCGGAAGTTTTTTGAAGACCGTCACATCGGATGGTCAAAAACTGTTATAAGAATGAAGAAAACAACTGCATCTGGGGTTTTTAGAAGCTATTTTAGTTCTCTTATGTCATCAATAAAAAAGTTTCACGTCAGAAAACCAATCCTAGAACACTCGGGTTAACATTTTGGAAGTGAATTCAGTTGGTGTGGTACTCCAGCAGCTTCGACTTCAAATTGTGTCCTATGATTCATAAATATACACACCGAAAAGTAAAGATTTATTAGGAATTTAAATCACCAAGGAATAAATTCAGCATTCTTGTCTAAAAGGAATATAACAGACTGAAATTACTGAGTCACTCCAAAACAAAATAGTCATTGTACCTATCGCTAAAGCAACATACGTAGTGTATGTGAAATTCGTCCAATATAAATTTAGTACCTGTCCCGTCTAAAATAATAGCTGCAATCAAAGTGGAGGCAATATACTAAACAAGTGAGAAATTGGCCATCAACGAGCAGATCTATCTTCAGGTTGTGGATGAATAGTTCACGTGTCCAACCTCAACTATATGTCTTAATAATCACACATTTTATGTTAATAGTTTTGTAGGTCCTGATATTATTAGGGATTTTTTTATTCGTCAGATGAAACTGCTCTGGAAAGATGACTTTTAACATGTTCTTTAGCATCTCAAAGCCTTATAGAGGAAAGTAAGCTCCCAACCTCATTCAGAATGATGAAACACAATAAATATTCTCTGTCTTCAAATTGATCAAGGGTCTAGACAATGTTGCCTAGTTTCATCATTTCCTCTGTAACTATTGCACGTATAGCGTATGAGGTTAGTATTATATCTACAACTTATGAAAACACCAAAACTTCAGCTTGTTGACTATATTATCTTACTGTGCGGTCCCACAAGCCTTGCAAATCGGTAAATAATCTGACGTTTGCTGGACTACATAAAGTCACATCGATCTGAATATATCTATATTAATCAAGTAGTTGTATGCTTAATGTCCTTGGTCAAATCGTGGGACTGACACAAGTAAGAGGTATATAACCTAACCATATCTTATATCGCACTCCATCCTGCTACCTCCGTAAGTCAGTTGCATTTAAAAAAGTGTACTGGGTCACTGAAGTGGTGTATTCTCATTTTCTACTCATAGTCAAGTTCTAAATTTCATGTTAGTTATTTCATAATCAGTGTTTATTAGTATAGTATCTTCATTGCACCTTTCAGGTGTAAAGTAATTTCATAAGATTAATAGAAGTTCATGTTCGTATTAAATCATACGATAGAACTGTCTTTGCATTTATTAGCTATATATTAATGGCGGCGTGACAGACAAAACAAATCTCTATACAACGAAAGTAAGGAAGTTTCATATCATTTTTGAAGTAACCGTACCAATGTTAATCGGCTGTGCAACTCTTCAATGAGAGAAGCTATATTACACATCTATGAAACCTGATGTCCACAAGCTAACGGTGCAGACTTCTTTTGGGCTCAGGGCAGACCGCTTTTTAGTGATTACGATTTCTATTTGAGTAATCCAGATACCCTTAACGTATGATATCTCACGGACTGAATAAAGCAGAGAAACAGTCCATAAGATGGTGCTGTGGGACTAAAGATAACTTCGTCAGATTAACATCTTTCGACTTATCAGGACCCCGAGATTACACAACTATGATGTAATAGGACTCAAAGTTAAAGTTCATGACAGTTCAACTTCGTACTTTAGTCTTCAGCATCAATAGTAAATTGAAATTTGAAGTGAACTAAATCCTTATCTCACTACTGCTCATCATGATTTCGTTCAGTATAATGGTTACTTCATTAAAATGCTACCATATTTGCATGTTTCATTTTTTTTCTTTGATTAGTCATGTTTTTTCTAGATATTTCGCATATGAATGATAACTTTCGTTCTACAATAGGAATCTAGTCAACTGTCTATTGGTTGTATTCTGAAACTTATTCAGTTAGTATTTGGGAGGATCATTCTCATAAGCAACATGGTCGTTTATTCAGCCACCTTTGTCATTCCATTAGTTTATCAATCAGTTTTTATGTTTTCTGGGCGACCCTGCAAGACATGACTCAAAATCAATTACAATAGTGATTTGCGTGGATTTTTCTAGATCTCGAATATTTTATTACTCATTTTTTTCTTCTTTAGATACCTAATTGTTTTAACATAAGTACCTCTGGACATTATTAGATAATGTTTTTGTGTGACAGTGTATCTATCTGGTGGTCCATTGGAAGGAATTATAAATACAAAGCAATTAGTAATTATCTTAGGTCTATTTGCTGTGTTTGTTTTTTATCATTTTTTAAAAAAATTGATTATATGGTCTGTTTATTCAAATCATACGTATTTTTAAAAAAAAACAAGTAAATTTAAATGAACACTTTCATTCATGTACTTGTATAGTTACATTATTGTTAGTTAAGAAAATTACATCTGTAGATTATTATACTGGATTGAAAAGCTTTTATGTTAATTAACTAATCTAATGTACAGAATAATCCATCATTATATTACTATTAAATGTCACAAACAAAATAACCGTCAAAACTAGAATAGACTGCTGCACTACTTTTTTTTGGTCATTGAAATAAATATTCACCATTTTGATGTATTTACCGTTTTTTTATCTGTTCTATATTACATTCTTCCTTATGGTTTAGATCTCATCATCAGTTAGTAAATGGCTATACTACTGTGATTACAACTGATAATATTCAACCTCCAAACGGATCTAATTCACACACGGAATTTAACATCTCTAGTGCGCCTAGAGTGCCAGCAAATCAACATGATAGGGATTTCTGGTCAGCTTTAATAGGATCTCTATTTGGATCCCATAAATTTTCATCTACAAGGAATACTTTAGCAACTGTTGACTCAACTTCTAGAGGTCAAGATGCAGAATTACCTGACAGGCAACGCCCTTTAAATGATTGGACTGAAGTCGATGGTTTCTGGGAACCTAACAACCTATCTGCTTCCTCTTCACTGTCAAATTCTAATGTTAATTCCCAAAATACTCAAATTGATTTGTCATTACCACCAGGTTGGGGTGAGTAATTCTTACTTTTTCTCAATTGCTTTTAATCAGAGATACACCACTTCGCTTTTAAGTTTTTAGCCTTCCAATTAATCTTTAAGTAGAATTTTGACAAGGTAATTCTATCAGAAACTTTAGCTGATCATCTAATAGAGTGATCTTCAGTTACCTTTAGATTTTTGTCAGTTACGTCCAAAAATTATTGTCTCATTTTATAGAAATTAAGTGCTTTATTCCCTGAATACTGATAAGTTAACAATTGATTCAGTCTTTTAATGTTCATGTAGTTAAGTGAAATTAGTAGACAGCATAGATTCTCTTTTAATGAGGTGTTTACTTATTAAGATTCTACTCCTTACTTAATTTTCTCACGTTACGACGTTGTACTTTGACCATTTATTATTATTAGTTGATAATAAACCCACTAACATTCACTGTAGCGTTAAAACACTACTGTGTTTACTATTCTAAACCTGCACAACGTTTAGTCCTTTTATTGTACGCGGTAATTGGATTTAGATTCACAACTGTTAGTGTCGGAAAATGAATTGAATATTTTATCTTTGTACTACAACAATTTTCTTCTATAATTAAGGTTTCAAAAAGTATATTCATGTTAATCATGTTAAAGTGATACTTTGAGCACGACTTGTGATACTGAAATATTAATCATTTAAATCTACTTAAGAACGATTATTTTGAATATCTCTAATCCTGTGATTTATTAATCTATTGTGTAGATGCGTTATTGAAATCGCACTTGGTTATATTTTGCTACTCATTGTGGCTCTTAATAGTGTATGAAATATGTGTTGCTTGAATATTTCATGATCTCAATACACTTGGTAATTTAATTGAATACATTCCAGTAACTTCCTGGTGATCTCAATGATGACCTGCTTCGGTTTGGGCACCCGGACAGTATCCTAGCCCTCACACAAATCGAATGACAAAGTCTGGTGCATATATATTTGGTACCAATGTTTATGTTTATGTGTAGGATCTATAACGACACATTTCAGTTTGTCACCTAGTACTTCAAATAAATTGTTCGTCTTTCTTTGGCTTATTACTTAAGTTGTATACAATCAAAATTCATATGTTTTCAGATATAAGTAATCAGCGTTTGATTAGATTTTCACCATGAAATTAAAAACGATTCTGACTTGCTCTTCATGTGTAAAAGCTTTAATTACTCTCATATTGCAACTAAATAGCTATAAAATCGAATTGTGTATTATAGATTTATAAGAAGTGACTGTTCTCACTTTATGTAAAGTAATCAGCCTTTAGTGTTTATTAATGGTTAATATTTTAAGAGTCAGATCTCATCTCCATGTTTTTCCATAGTTAATTTATTATTTCTACCTTTCTAAATGTAGAAAGACGTTTTGACAAGTCAACTCAGAAATATTATTTTATCAACCATAAATGTAAAATCACTCAATGGGAGGATCCACGTGAACGTGGAATGGATGAAACCCAACCTCTCCCGCCTGGATGGGAGAAACGTTATACCGCCCAAGGACAAAGGTTTTTCATTGATCATAATACCCATACTACTACCCTTGTTGATCCACGTACTGGACAACATGCTGGGTAAGGAAGATCATATTCGCCTATTTTATAATATCTGTTTATCAACAATCTCTCAATGCTTCCCCAGAAGCACTCCTTTTGTTCGGATTGTAGATGAAAACGAGAAAAATTCAATTCACGATATTTATCGTATTATTAATAAGGGTCTGTATTATATTGTCAAAATTGACTACTGAATTTCGGTTAACTTGATGTACATATCATAATAAAGACTTAAATTTAGTCCTATATATTAACAATGGAATAATGCAAACCCTCACAAGTAATGATATAAATATCATACGTGTTGAACAAGCTAGTGATTATCTGGGCTTGGCGCATAACACGTTTGGGGTCTAAAACTAAAGGTACTGTGTTCAAATTTCGGAGTGAACATCAACATCAAGATGTAGATACAACCAGCGGATGAGCCTCAAATGGGACGATACTAGTTTCCACTGCTAGTGTTCCGTAAATTCTAAACCATGTTATTTATTACTTATTGATGTTGCTCGTCCTTAGTATTTATCTGTACTCCTTTTTCATAAATCTTTAAAAGAATATTTTTTTAAGGACAGGGGTGGCCATCATTATAACTTTGTTTTAATAATCTCCTATTAAGAAGTTGTCAGGAATTCATTTACCAATTTTGAAAACAGTTTGATGATAGTAGTGGTTTAAAAGAATCTTCAGAACTAGATCTCTTGTACATTAATGAAGACCCACAGCATAGCTTTGGATCATGTCTATTGGTCATGTAGATTAGAAACTTATGGTGGTTGACAATAAACCAAATATACAATAACTCAATATCATTCTTTATTTAACTGTATTTATCTTTGTCAAAGTAATGTATACAAATGAATTAGTTTCAAGTAAATATAATATTTATGTCTTCTTGAAAGTTCGGCATTATTAAACTGGACGAAGCAAGCCTAGTCTTCCCATCGACATTTTGTTTTCCAAAATACTTCAGACTACTTGCGAGTAGTACCACAACACCTGATGTGTGTAAAAATTTCAATTTTATTTCTAAAAGAAATTAGAATCTTTTCATTTTATTCCTTTATTTCCTATAGTTCATTGGGTAGTATGGGAGTCCCATTGCAATATGAAAGGAATTTTCGATCCAAAGTCAATTATTTCCGTGCTTGTTGTACAAATGCCATGTTAAATGGGCAGACCAAACTTCTTATATCAAGAGATAATTTATTAGAGGACTCATTTCAACTGGTAAGAACGTTAAATAATGCATAAATATTTTAAATTTTTAAAGACAAAAAGCCAGTTTCCTGTACGCTAATGCGCGATTTCTGTATAATTTTTTTTGAAACTATGATATTCGATGGTGAATGGTACAACACTAAGTTTTATGGCTTTATCAGTGCTCATCATTTCTCAGTAGGTGAGAGTTTCTTGACTAAATTTTGATGACTAAGAGAACAACGTATAATAGTCATTACAATTCTTATTAGAATTTTTTTCTGTTTGAACAAAGCAGATATTAGGTGCGTTAGATTGTTATTCAGTTATTCTGGACCTCTAATTGCGATGATAGCCTTAGTAATTATTGATTTCAGCATGTTTAACAGAGTGATGAACGGAATATTCCCCCCCCCCATATTTTGACGTAGTGTCTCATAAGAGAAGATTAGATAAGTCCGTTTAAAGATTCTAAATAAACTTAACTTATCACTTCTAATTACAGTATCAAATCATTAACCAGAGGAAAGTAACATGAAAACTAAACTTCAAATAAAACAAAAGAATTTTAGAATCCCGTCATATGTTATGATACAACCACAATAACAGAAACATATCAATGTAGCAAGACACCCGTTGATTGAAGTTGAAAACTGTTTAACTCTTTTTAAATAATTCGAAACTTTAAGCTTTGTATATACCATGATTTTTGTAGTTTTCTTGTTATAACTAACGTGCACATTTTGAGATCGTGATTCGCAAAATAAAATCTAGAGACAGTTTAAACATTGTCTGAAATTTCCAATTCTTATTTGAATCAGGAATTGATAAGAATTCTCTGATAAAACTATATGAATGAGTATATCTATAGAAAAAGTTGATTTTTGCATTGAGCACCAAAAAGAACTGCACAAAAATATAAATGCTTTTTATAGATAATAACCATCCAAAGTCTATCGAGTATTCATAGCATCCTTTACATTAATATTTAATTATATTTTCCTAGTTAACTTAATTTACTTGTTAGTAACAGGTCATAATTAAATTATTTAATGTTTATTATGAACATTTTCACTTCGACCACCTTAAACTATCTTCTAACACTTTAGGTATCCCAAATGTCTTCATCTGGTTTAAGAAGACGTTTATCTATAACATTTCTACATGAAGAAGGTTTGGATTACGGTGGAGTAGCCAGGTATATGAACATTTTCGAATTGATTGTATTATGACACTTGATATCACTACAACACTTGTCTTAAATAACTGAATTTCTATGTAATTACATGGTAAAATTTCAAACTATTTGCATATTCTCGATTCACACGGTTATGTTGATAATTTTAGGTAATTCTGATTACTAACTAACATGAAATGGAAAAGCAGAGAACATTAAGCAGCATGTGCTACACTCCTGACTATATTAATAGGAAACAATTTTCCTGTATGTTCTACCTTATAATGTTTTTGTAATGGTGGATGTCAGTACAATATAACCTACCACTAATAATAATCCTCATTTGGCAGGTTACGTTCTGTATAACTGTTTACTTAAACTCCGTTAATCATGTCAGTTTTTGCAGTATGTTATCACTCAGAATTTGCCACTTATTTTGTAAATCATTTCTTAAGTAACATGTTGTTCAGCCTTCTGGGGATGTTTTTATCAAATTTAGTCCTAATGTGATGAATTGGTCAACGTACACCAAGATAAAGTAATTCTGTAGAAATTGTATGTCAACCGATTTCATATAACTCACGAAACCTAGTAAGACGTATGATAAATAAAGATACTGATTGTTTTTCTTTTACTGTTCTTGTCTTATTTTTAAAAATAATCAAATCTGCTCTTGCGATCTCTTTGCATTTATTATTATTATTATTATTATTATTATTATTATTATTATTATTACTATCTGTCGGTTTTTTCCCTTACTAAAATAACCGAAGTCATGTATACAAAGCTTTGTTTTTATTTTTGTCTCACTCATTTTGATATTCAGTATATCGTGGAAATGACGAAATTCAGAATCACTTATGTGTTTATATAACTGAATTATTGTCTTTTTGTCCAGAGAATGGTTCTATCGTCTTTCAAGAGAAATTTTAAACCCAATGTTTGGCTTGTTTGAGTATACTGGAACAGATTATGCCTTACAAGTAAATCCAGCCTCTCATGTTAATCCAAATCATATGGCGTATTTTCGATTCGTTGGACGCTTTATTGGTATGGTAAGTTGAACCTCGTACGTGTATTTTTTTAATAACTCATTACTCAGTTTTAAATCAACAGGTGAACTGAAGCGTACGCTTTAAAATAATTTAAGATGGATTGTATGATTCATTTTAAGATGTAATTAAGTGACCTCTTTTAATACCTACAGAACTTGCCCTCACTATGGAATCAACTGAAAAAATGTGTGAGAGTAGTGTTTATGTAAAATGCGAAAAAATGAATCGATGTCCTCATCCATTTCGACAAACAGATGAAGTTGTATTTTAGTGTTCATTTTGTGAAGATTTTGTTCTAATTTCAGTTGTTGTGTAATATGTTTCAAACCCCTTTCATATTTTCAAGATTTGTTTTAGTTTTCCTATCTGACAAAACTTATCCATAACAAGTAATCTATTTCAACCTTTTTTCATATTTACTCATATCTAGTTTAAATAATTTTTAATTAATGTTATGTACAAAATGCATTAACCTCTCCATTCATCATAAAATCTTAGTGTTATTTCTGCAACCATATGAAATACATTCGTACTCTTCCACAGTCGTTGTCTGCTAATACTACAATTGGTTTCTTCTATACCTTGGTCTATACTAATAGTAAACACGAGTAAATATAAATCTAACTACAAACTGTATTTAATCTAATGTCTTATTTTACCTAATTGTTACCATCCAGAATCTGTGTAATCCGCGAATTCAAGTTCACAGGGACAGAGGTATACTGTCATGATTCCAGTTTCTAAATTATCTTTTGTCCACTGTTAAAATTTTGTCCTGTGTTATACTATAAACAATTCCTCAATAAATAACAAATGAGGTTAACGTACTAATCAAGGGGTAAGGAAGAACAAAATTTTATGGGTCAGATAATAGTCCAATTGACAGATATGAAGAATCCTTTTTTGTGACACAATCCTTTCTATCCTTCTATAGACATACATTTTCCATATAAATAATTCCTCGTAAATTTGTCCTTAACCAATATTTCATCCTAAACAAACTAAAATCTTAACCAAAACCAACTCAAACACAATAGACATTATTTTTCACAAAAATAAAACAACACATACCCAAACACACCACCCCAACCCATACCCCCCCTCCTCAACAACACCTACCAATCATAATATAAAAATAAAAAAAAAAAAACCAAAAAACAAAATCCCAATGTGTCTCATCGCTCTCACGCTTCACGCTTCTCCATTCTCAGTCCCCCTCTCAACGTCACTACTTAATTAACTCAAACTCCACCCCCCTCCCCCCCCCCACACCATACATTACACCAATATCTCATATGTACCTCTCTTGTTCATCTTCTTACAGAGAAGACTCTCAAAAACTTTATAATTAATTACTTAGACCCACAACTTACTTCATGATAGAGTATAGACTACAATTGTGATTACTCATACACTCTAAGATCTCTACAAATTTATTTATTTATTAGTACAGCACCCCACCCCCCCCCTCTACCTACTCTTAACTTACATCCCAGACTTACCCTCTCTATATGTTTACTAGAAGAATCTGTGTGTACTCAGATACCCCCTCCTCGCGCTCGCGATACACCTGTCTCTCCCTCATGTCCCCTCCACGACAGAGAGAGAATACATTCTAAATGTTCCTAGCTTTCAGCGCCTGGGGTCGCTCCTCCCCTCCCCACCTCACCTCCCTCTCTCTCCCACTCCTCCACACCCCACCCCCCACTCCTCTCCCCCGCCCCCCTCCCCCTCCCGAGAAACCCCTCCAACCCTCTCATCGTCTGAGCGCTATCCGTTCACTTCGTCTTTTCTCCAGCAGTGTGTGTCTGTGTAAGCTCCCGCGCGCTCCATGATTATATTGCCTACCCACCCCCCCTCCCTATGCAGAAAATTAATAGAAACATTTCCTTGTTTATCCATCCAGATTTAAATTTTTATTTACATATTTAATAGAAAGAGTTTGGAGTATGTACTTTTTGTCCAACCTAACTTTCATTTTATCCTATGTTCGTCTAAATTTCACCAAGAGAAGAAATATCTATATACCTCTCCAATTAATATTTGTGTGTACCACATGTTTATAAAATTCTTATTGAACACTATGGGCATATGGATATCACTGTAACCGTTAGTCTTTGTATTAGGATTACGGGAAAAATTGTAACTTCGTATGTATATTACTTAGCTGTTTAACTTTGAACTAACGCATGGCCAGGCTCATATCGATTTTAGTTGCTCGGTTCGGAAAATCCAAATAAATCCATATTATATAATTAGGTAATCAAATTTTATTTATTGCAATCTGACCACTATATTTTAATGTTGGGCACTTTAAGAAAATTGTCAAAAAGAAGCTCTGGATATAGGCTTTGTGCACTAGTTGGTACTTCTCAGTAGATGAGCATTTAGGTTATCTATCTGCTTATAAATGTCCTTTGCTTCACATATCTATTTTACAAATGAATTGTGTATATACGAATTTATATTAACCAGTCCTTCTCAGTATAATTCTATTCTTTAAATCTATATTTCAGGCACTTTTTCATGGTCGCTGCATTGATGGTGGGCTTACTCTTGCTTTTTATAAACAAATTTTGAAGCGGAAATTAACATTAGAAGACCTTGGCCATACGGATCACAGTTATTATCAATCGTTAATTTATGTCAGGTAAGATTGGATTTCGTTTAAAAAACAAAAGCAAGTCTGAAAACCCAATACACAAATACGTACTTTAAAAATTTCTCATTGATCAGGGAGCTTTATCTACAACTTAGCTTCTTATTTTTTAACGTCACCAAAGTGTTGTTATCTCTAGCCTAAAACGGATCTGTTTTACTTAGTGTGAAATTATTTCAGTCTCAACTGACGCCTTTTACGATCTCATTACATACACAAATTAGTTGCTTAATGCTTTCTTCCTAAGGCTTTGAATGAAATAGATGTAGGCAATGTTCTTTTTAATTGCCCCCCTCGATTGTTTATTCATGAGAGTTTGAGCTTGTTGATTGGCCAATTGTTTTCTCTGTACTTTTTTCTATTCATTATTTAGAGATAATCCAGTTGATGAGTGTGATTTGGACTTGTACTTTATTGGAACCTATGATCTTTTAGGCGCTTTGCGTGAAGACGAACTTATTGAAGGTGGCAAAGATATTAAAGTGACTGAGGAAAATAAATCCGATTATATCAGGTACACAAATTTATTACGTATGTCTACTAAATTATGTATAGAAAGCTCCGGTCTCTTTTTTTAGACAATTCTCTAGAGATTAATATTTGTTTTTTTGTATGTTTATGATTTGTGTGTAATTACGAATTTCATAGAATCGCAACTAAAATCTCAATTACATGAGGCTTTTATTGTGGAACTTAAATGTTGGATACTATTTCATCCTAGTTACGACTGAAGTGCACAAAATCTGACTGAGTTCATAATAGTTTCAAGTAAAGATAGAAACTGACCAAGTCTATTGCGATAACGAAGATCCTATATTTGCACATAGTGTTGAAGGTAAATTGACTTTGATTTGTGGCGACTAATCATCATAGCTGTCATGTCGATTTGTTTATGATACACAACGATCAGTCTATTGTCTTTCGTAAGAACTTTGTTTACGTCACCTGTGGCTGTGGTTTCCAATCAAAAATTGCCTTGTGTTTCTGTTCTAATCTGTCATTTTCATCCTTTCTCTAGATGACTTAAACTGAACCAATAGAGTTGAGAATGATTTATTGGGGATGAAGGTATTTCTTAATCTTCTTTCGACGAGTATAAAGCAATTATTTATTCCACGAATGCATTTATTAACTGATTTGATACTTCAATAAAATCATCGATAGAATGGCGTCTTCATTCGCCTCATGTTAATCAATCATATTTGATATAGTGCTTGTTACTACTTCTTACTTATAAACTTTTCGAAAATAACTGGTGAAAACTTACCAAATATCTCTCTTAAGTAATCAGTAGCGAACTATTCCATAATGATATGCAATTGGCAGTAAGTACTCTCACATTTTCAATACGACCTTAGCTACTGCCTTGACGTGGTGGTCGAGTTTATCTATTGGGATGATCCGACCGAGCTATATTGCCTAGGACACTTGCTCCTTTATATCGTATCATGCTAGGCAGGTTGGTTGGAGAATGGTACGCCTGAAAGATCCGGGGACGGAGTAGTACTGGTGACTGTCCAGGGGTGTGTTCACTGCCTAGCACTCTGCTGTGTTCTTCCTTAAGACCGTAAGGGATGGTCTATGAAATTAGAAGGCATTTGCAGGCTGCAAGTTTCTAACCATAAGTGTCTTCGGTGCTTTTTCGCTTGCGTTTCCTGGAAAGACCGAATGAGCGATGTTGAAATTAGGTATGGAGTACTTGGCAAACTTGCTAAATCGAGTGGTAAGACAGTGAATCTTCTTTGATCCATATGTTTCGGACATATGTTAAATAAAGTTAACCACCACCTATTTCAATCAGCGATGCTTACTTGTGCAGACGGACATTAAAAGAAAGGTAGGGGAGGACAAACCAAAATGTGGCATCAGTCCATGAAATTATCGATTGTTGATTTGAACCATGTTGACAAGTGAAAACTACCTGTTTGGAGTCCGTGTGATAACGGCCATCAGTGGTTGAACACTGAGTAATATGACTGAGAATCGCTCACTATGGCCCAGATTCATTCACTCTTCATCTCCTCGACCTTGAATTCCAGTATCTTTTCATGTCTGTCTTTTCAAACCGTTTTCTCAATATCTGTTTATTATTGCCACCACATTATTCCGATCTCTTTTGTTATTCTCGTCTTGTCGTGCTAATCAGGTATGACAACTTTAACAGACGCGAATCTGTGCCATGCTTTCTGTTGATTATCTCTGTCCGCCAAAGTTTTTAATAAGATTGGCTGTTTGAATGGAACAACAAAATTATTGTGTAACCTTCACACAATAATTAATATTTGTCAGTAATTTCGTGTAATTATTTAAGTCCCTTGTCTACTTGTAAAAAATCTCTTGTGATGTGAAAAGTCGTTTTATATAGAATTAAGTTACTATAGTTCATAAAGTACTGATTAATTTCACTTAAAAAGTATTCTATTTAGCCCAGTTATATGTAAAGAGTAAATTCGTGAGTAGAATAATCGACTAAGGTCACCGCAGTGAATATACTTGACAAATATTCTTGTAGTTCTTATGTTTTGAGAGCAAGCGACCGACGTTCATCTGCCGACCCCTCATAAATATGATTAATCATATGGATGAAGATTTTTATCTGCTTAACTATGTCTCATTGATTTAGGCACTTTATTTTCTAATTGCAAAGTAATAAAAGTCATTTGTCTGCAGATAATAAATGTGTCTCACACCATAACTCTTAGTACATCAGCTTCTACGTGATTACGAAATGTTCTGCTCTAACATTTGTCAAACATTCTTCGGTAAATATTTAATAATTTTGATGATGTCTAACCGAAAACTTTCATTTCGAACACTCTACGCATAATTTTAGACTAATGGTTGATTGGCGATTCAACAGAGGAGTAAAAAAACAAACAGAAGAAATTCACAAAGGTATTTTTGAAGTACTAAATCCCGAGTGGCTGGAATTATTCGATGAGCGTGAACTTGAAGTAGGTCTTTTGAGAAAGTTCGAATGACTTCAAATGTTCTACTGTACTATATCTAGTATTGTCGTAATTCTCTGTGCTGAGTATACATCCCATAATTAACCTATATTTGATATTCTCGCACATATGTTTCTTCAGCATTTTAGCTTGATTAATAGTGTTTTAGACTTCACCTCAGTAAATTTTCAGGGCTTCATTTATGAAGCTGGCAGTAATTATGTTTGGCGAGTGATAATAACTAACTGAAGTAACATAATGAAATGAAAGTTTAACGTTCACACCATTAAACCTCAGATGTGAAAAAAAAGTTTTTATTCCCACGACATGGTACACAAAATCGACTAGATAAACTGCAAAAAAATGTACAATCTCAGTTTCCTCTCCGCCATCTACTGTTATACATTCTTATGTTATTATAGGTTGACTAATTTGTTTGCTTTCTTCACAATAAATTACATATACAGCATATACATATATATATACAGTATTACAATCAAATTCAACCCTAAAAATCGATCATCTCAATGTTGGGTGTTGGCAGACGTTACACGTCAACATGAGCATAACCCTTGTTAATCAAACTAATCACTTTTATGTTTGTATGTGTGCCTAAAAATCTATCCGTTTCCACTACCTTCTGTTTCATATACAGAAATTCTTATTTATCTCAACCCTTTTTCATGATTACACGATTAAAATGTGTTATTTATAGACCCTGTATGGATTATTGATTCATTAACTTTCTTTTGTTCTCTGTATATTATTTCTTATTGTTGTTCGCTTTGTTCACTTATTGCCTTCTCGTTAATTAATTCATATGCTGTATGCGTATTATTAACTAGTACTTTATCTTTCAAAATAATATGTTGGTCAATCCAATAAATAAATTTTCTGTTAGTTGTAAAGATTAGTATTTCAATGTCTATTAGTTGGACTGAAAAGGACAATTATTACAAATAAACACCAAAATAAATATGTGCAACACAAATAAGTGAGTTAAATTGTGAATAGATAGATCAAGGAATGTGAATATGATAAAAAAAGCAATTAAATCAGATGAAATTATCAAAACAAACACCACAGTAGTAGACTTAATAACTATCAATGGTCGTAAAAAAAACACTGGCCATAAATAATCACACTCATACCTCTGACAGCACACTGTTCACCATCAAACCCCTTCATTACTTCTTAATATTTCTCCAGTCTTCACTATCAACACTTCTCGTGTATTTTTATCACTACTACTACTATCAGGTTAACCATAAAGTGATATCCGATTCGAAACAGCCTGGTATAGATGTTCAAACAGCAACGAGATTTGCTAGTAACTTGAACCAAATTTTTAGAAGTACTAGTGGATTCAAGCAGTGTGTACTGGATAGATAGAGGCGTGAGCACTAACCCTGGCAGGCTCAAAGAATAATTGGTAGCCAAGGCACTTTGAGCATAGACTGACAAAAAGCTTGTGCAATGATTATGAGCTGTAAAAGTCCATGAAAGAAGAGATTGAAAAAGGAGCATCAAGGAAGCAGGTATTAGAAAGGCAGGTGGTGGTGAACTATATTATCCATTCTCAATCTAGGAGATTAGATAGATAGCGAAAATACTAGGGAAGAATTCAACTGACCTCCGGTTAGCTACCCTTCAGTTATACTCTATCTCTAACTCTTATTGAAGCTGAAAGGATAATAGATTACAAAAAATGAAGTAGGTTAACAGGCCTTGATGGTTTAACCCCGTAGATAGTGGTCCAGTTTTACTAGTTAAATTGATTGAGATATTGGCCAGAGTTTGGGAACTGGATGTAATCCAATCTGACTGGTCTCGACGACTGATTGTTGCCGTCTATAAAAAAATGAAATCCCTTTTGTGACAACCACAAAAGGATCGATTTGACGAACATAGTGTCTGAAATACTAGCCTTTCTAACTATTCGACTCTCAAATAAAGCTTGTGAAGACCAATCTTGGGAAATCAGGCTGGTTTCAGACACGGACGCGAGTGTGCTGACCGAATATTCGCCCTTCGTCAAGTACTGAAATATAGATAGACTTTCTAACATTTGACTGTTGTTGTATTCCTTGTTCTTGAGGCAGCATTCGATCCTCTTGATAGACACACTACGGAGGTATTTGGCATTGAAAGGTGCATCAATGAAAAACACTTATCTTTACTCAGTACCCTAAATATAATCTTAGTATTGCTCATTTGTTAGTGTCAATGTGCTTGAGCAATCCTTTGAAGAAGTCTATAATCAAAAAATAGTGTTGAACAGCCATCCTCTGTTACTAATGGCTTTGTTTTACGCTGTTAAAGTAAAAGCAAGCGACTTATTTTAATATTTCACTATTACTTAAAAGTTTTAGCTCACCACCGTATAATTATTTTTGACCGCTGTTTATCGTTCTCTTCTTTTTATTTTGAAGCTCCTATTATCCGGTATGCCAGAGATTGATGTTGACGATTGGGAAAAGAATACGGTCTACATAAAGTACACACGATCAAGTAAACAGATTATTTGGTTTTGGAAGGTAAACAAATGTGCCAACTTCCCATCTGTCTGTGTTTATGTGTGTGTGCCCGTACCATAACATATATTACATTTCATTTCGTGATATTCATTATACTAAAGGGTAGCTATATAAGTATAATTTGATACTTTACACTAAGTGGTATCTGCTAATTAATCATGGGAACTACTTTGTAAGAAATTAATCCTTCTGTTAATTATACATTCACGAATGTACATTTATGAAGATGAGTTAGTCTAAAAAGAACTTTTTCTGCACTGCAACGTTCACCTTTCTTGTCTTATGACGTATTCTGTTGTCGATGAAAACCAGAATCTTTTTCTCAGGAAAAATCAAGGATATTTACATAATTCCTTTACAGTCTTTTGTTGTGATCCTACTAAAGAAATCAATCTGAGCTATGTTCATTTATTAATTTATTTAATCTTTGTTGATCCGTTAAACTTGTCAATTATTGCGTAAATTGCAGAAAGCCGTTTACCAACTAAATGAATTGAGTATCAAAAACATCATTTTATTATCATAACATTTGTACTCAAATCGTTTTAAGCTATATACATAGAGCTGATAGCTCCAAATTCATTCTCGTTGTTTAAAAAATATTGCAGACATGCTTTAAGACCGAACTTATTACTTTATACTTCTCATTGTTTAGGTTTCTTGATATTCTTACATTATCACACATGTTTCTGAATTATTGGTAATGTCTTCACAAAAGATCTTATCTGAACAAATGCACTGAATTTCTGTGTGCTTCCTTCCCCAATCGACAACTCTATTCACTATAGTAGTAGTTATATCATCCGAGAAAGTAATTTTAGCTCCTATGTTCATCTACTTACTAACTGATTGATTTCTGAGGATCGACGTTTCATGCTTAGTAAATTCATATTTATTTCTCATGAATTTGTAACGTTAACCTTTATGATACTTGACCGAGACATTGTATTGAACAAATTTGTGTTAATTTGACCTTAGATAGACGTTTCATCATAAATCTATTTGTATTAGTAGTATGCTCATATCGTTTCAAATCATGTTATGATTGTAGTGAAATTTAATGTAATAGAGTGACTGATAATTTTTCCTAATATTCCGAAGCAATAATTTCCGGTGTCCTTGAAAAGAATCGCGGTTAAACTTAACAACCATTTGTTTGATTTTTAAAAAAGATAGATGTGTGTCGAAAATCAAGTCCCAAACTTGTTTAGCTTTTTTCTGACAAGCTATTTTTCTAATCACAATTTATTTGTACTCTTGGATATTTTGTTCATGGCTATTCTATCTATTCTTTCCTCTGAATTGTTTTATTTCATGAAGTTGATTCGAAAACTTGATAATGAACATCGTGCTCGTCTTCTACAATTCGTCACAGGTACCTGTCATTTACCATTAGGAGGCTTCTCTGAATTAACTGGTGAGTAGTAACTTCCGCAATATATCGACCGAATAATTTCTCTCCTGTAATTAATGTGAAGTGTGTAAATTTTTCACCGGATTTTTTAAATATCAATCACTAACAATGGTTAAAGTTGAATCAATATTTGGCATACAACTTTGTGACTAATTGCATTTATTTAGTTTCAATTTAATATATTTATTATTAGTTATTGAACTGAAAGTCACTTATAGTCATGATGTTGAGTGCTTTTTTATTTTGTCCGATTAAATATATGATTAATATTTTTATCTACTGAACTTGCACTGGAAGAACTTACAGAAATCGATTATTTCAAGTGATAATTGACTAAAGTATGGGTTGGATTCTTCTCATTTGTTAATCATGTATTAATTTGAATTCGTGAGGTTAAGGGTAATAACACTTTATGCAGTGCATTAAATGAGTTAACCAAACCAGATCACACTAAAAACTCCAAATGGTTAATCAAAAAATTTGCACCGTTGCAGTCTATGATTTGTAGCGGGTGTTTAGCTTGGTAGTCAGAATATTTTTCAGTAGTAATTGTAATACCAATAAATACACTTGATTGTCATTAATTTCTTTCCCTTTTTAGGCAGTGGTGGTCGTCAGTTATTTTGTATAGAACGTACAGGCGATGAACAATGGCTACCACGTAGTCACACATGCTTCAACCGGTTAGATTTACCGCCATACAATTCGTACGATCAATTGTGCGAAAAACTGCAAATGGCAATTGAAGAAACTAAGGGATTTGGGCAAGAATAAATCTAACCTCCTCTATGACTTTCCCTTAAAAACACTTAAATTATAATGTTATTTTTATTGTGTATATTCCAGTAATCATCTATCACAGTAATGATTGATGAGAAACGTTTTGTGGAGGTTAGGGTAGGCGGTGAAGTGGTAAAATCAGTGGTATACTGTGTTTTGAATAAACTGTGATCTATTACCAATTAGCAATCATTTTTTGTTAGTAATTTCCGTTTTCTCTTTTCGATTACCATTATTATTATTATTATTATTATTATTATTATTATTATTATTATTATTATTATTGTCTCTGGGTAATGAAAATTATTTTATTAAATATTTTTTTCTAAATTTTGTTTTACTGATTTTGTCTTCAATTTACATGCGATACTCTCTACATTTGTGTACCCAAAGGTATGTTTTGCTTTTATGCTAAATTAATCAAACAAATTATGTTCGTTTGTTTGCGAACAAAACGTGCCAGATGATATGGCTCTCGTTACTTTCCCAGTTGTCAATGAATTGGCCTTATCATTGACTGACTTAATTAGACTAAAAACACAATGCATCATTAAAAACTAATGATATTGGACTTCTTGAACCTTTGGATAAAATTTACATCAGTAAGTTTATAAGGCATTTGAAATTTTGAGACGCTGAAGAGAACTTACAACTTAAATGAATACTTTTGGTAGTTATTTCATCTCATGTTATCCAGAATAATATTGATTTGTAATTAAACCATTTGGATCAGAGAACGCGACACTATCAAAAGCTTATCGTTTATGTCAATATGAACACGATTAGGATTAAATTGAAACATCCACCAGTACTAAGATTCTAAATTAGATAAACGTGAAAACAATAAGTAATTTATGGCATTTAATAGTTAGTGTAATTTTTTGTAGTTACTTCAGAAGTGTATCCCCGTAATGTTTGTAACCTTAAAGTATAACCCGAAAAACTTTCCTTAGCTTACTTTGATATACTCTCGAAATTGCTGGTGTCCATAGCATATTCATATGTCATTCCTTCAGCGATCAGAGTTTCACGTGGACTACTGGCCTAGAGTTAGTGCTTTTCAACTTTCTTAAGGGAATATTCTCTCCACTAATACCATTTCAGTCTCAAACGTCCACTCATCTTTCTTAAGGAACTCCTACATCATGTTACCTGAGTAAATGTGTTTCCCATCTCAGAGGATAAAAGGTTTATTTTATATGAAAGTATCTTAAATAACAAAGAAATTGAAATATTTCTACTTCGACCTAACCAGTAGAATTTACATTTTTTAATCCTAGCCCTCAACGTATTAGCACATCATACACTCGAACTCATCAGATTGAGCCCAGATACTTTAAGACTCTGAAAACGCGTCTTTGGTGTGAATTGTACATCACGGACTCTTATTCGCAACTTCTTGAAATACTCCAGATCTTGATCCATAAATTACATTCCATTAGCACTTACCTATAGACCATAAATTATCAGTTTGGAACTAAGCGCCGGAACGCTACTAATCTACCGGGTTTTTATAACAGTTGTTTATATGCTTCTAGACTGGAAGGTTCAACTAATGTAAAAAATATCTGTGATGATGAACAATATTTATTTGTTACCTTTACCTAATTTGTAACTCATATCACCCGGGATATAGTCACAGATGAGTTCTACCGCTAAATGAATGAATTCAGACAAGCCCTTTCATCGTAAAGCTAGTTGATAACTTAGATGTTCAGGTTAGCAGTTAGGATACAAGAAAATCATTCGAATGTCCAGTGTTGACTAGTAGATCACAAATAGCAATGGATGTATTCTGTATAATTTTGGAGCTCCAAATCTATTTTTACTCGATGTCATCTTACTCTTTTGTCATCCCCAATATGCCGCACAAAGTTTTCCTGGACGTAACTAATATGGTCAATAACTGGTAGTATAATTAAATAACGAACTCCTTTCTGTCAATCCTCTTGTATATCACAAATTAATCTTCGTTTCGATGGTTAACAGATTCTCTGCCCTAAATGGTTGATTTATACAAATCGTCTATTGTTATCTCTGCAGTCGAATATCAAATAGAGATAAGTTTAGGATTATCTAATAAACCATCAAAAACTCATAGATGAAGGGAAAATCGGCTTTTAATTTACTAAACATTAAACTTACAAACACTAATTTTTATGAGCTAGAAGCATAATTGACAATCTTCAGGATCATCTAGAACACTGGGTAGAGCACTTCAATAGTCAATCTACGTGGGGTATCACCATACAATTGTCCCGTTCTCTTTCATTACCTATCCGCCTAAAGCATAGGGGCTTCTGATGGAAATCCGAATGCTCAATCACTGCAAATCAACCTACTCAGGACACCTAAATCAGGATTTTTCGTTAATGGAAGTGGTTATTGTACCAATGCTCTTAAAACCCTAATTTATGCAACGATCGTCAGTTACCACATAAAAACTGGCCTGCAAAAATCAGTCCAGTTTTTATTTAGATCTTCAATGTATTACTCACATCTCCACCGTCTGCCAAATACTTGGCCACCATCACATGTACCAATAGTTGTGTTTCTTGACATGAGTGCTACTTTCATTTCACCGGAGAGAATACTGTAGAATCGTAGATTTGAGATTGATGTATATGATATGCTTACAGACATCTTGAAAACCTAAACAATTAGTGGAATTTTATATATCCAGATTATAGACTTCTGTGGGCTACTTTCGCGGATGCTTCGATACTATCTTATAGGAAATGCTCGAGCGAGGCAAATAATAAAACCAGATTTTCATAACTAGATTTCCACCTCTATACAACTAATACATTGCTCCGTGATGTATTATAATCCCTCTATAAATTCAGTGGAATTATTTCATCTTATCTAGCGCAATCTTAATCTCATCATAAGGAAATATATTTTTAATTTCTATAGCAATACGTTCTATTTTCTTTGGGCTGAGACTAATAAATTCATCTTTAGAGTTGAGCTACTTAAATAAATTGTTAGTAGCATGATATGACAGGCAATACGTTTTTGCTGTGTATAAAGTGTGATTAGATTTTAAGTATTAAGATTCCATTGTAATTATCTCACATGATTTTGTTGAAAGAAAAGTAAAATCTGGAGGTGAGCTTTGGGCTAACCTCTCCAGTTTTTGTGAAATTACATGGCTACAAATGTATGCATGATGCCTTGCTTCATGTAATTCATGATGCTTTCTTAATCTATTGAAGCTGATGGTCTTGTTGAGACTCCAGTTTGTTCCATAGATTTTATTTTTCTCAAGAAAATGTTAAAATTTCCCTCTATATTCTTATTTACTTACTTAACCCTGGATTAACCCGTTATATAATCGGATTTATCTACTGAACTCACAAACCTCAATTGTGTCTCTAACATAAATGCAAATATTTTTTGATGATAGTCAATACAGAAATTAGAGACAACATTTTGTCTTACAATATTTCTATAAATTGTTTCATACTTGTTGAGCAGTCACAAAGTTCTCTTCAAGTTTCCTGTAAAACAACAATCAACTTGACAGTATTACTCACATTTACTAATATTAAATAGTACGATGTTCACATATAGATTTAGTAAATACATAAGCCTACCACCTTTATTGGAAAACAGGCTGCCGTCTAAGGATCTCCAACTAATTCTTTCCTGATTTATCCTTAGCACTTGTTGCCAAGTGGTCTTCACTTGGAATTTATTTGTGAGCTGTCCTCCATGTTACACTACAATTCAGTCCCTCGTAACATTGCCATATAATGAAGATATTTCCATGTGCTCCATAGAATATCAGAAGTCTCTATAAGGTTCTGTATCCACTCCGTTGAATGCCTTTTCATCATCAACGAAGTTGATGTATAACGATGACTTCCATCCAGTTGAATGTGCAAATGATTTGCAGTTTCACGGTTTGTTTATTTCATGATTAGTCCTTATGAAAATCAGTATCTTGGTATCGAAGTAGTGTCTATTGAATTTTCCATTCACTCGTGCAACACTCTGTTGAAAACGTTTTCTGATACTGACAGTATTGAGAAGCCTAGATAGTTCAAACACTTACTCGAATCTCCTTGCTTCGGTATGCTATTGAGGTATCCTTCCTTCCGGTCTGTCGGTATTTATTCTTCCTCCAAAATCCTTCTCATGAGGAGAACATGGAACATGATTGTGACTGTCTGTATGTCTGAATTGAGTGTTTTGTTGGTATTCAGTCTGGTCCTACTGTCTCGCCGTTCATGATCCATTTGATGTCTAATTTGATCTCTTCGATTATCAGTGCAGCAACATGTATATTCAGGTCCGTGTGTTTTGCTGATCTGATATGTGGTAGTTTTAGTGAAGCTAGTCTATTGAAGAGCTCCTGGAAGTGTTCTACCCACTAGTTGCACTGTCCGTGATCCTCAGTGATTGGATTCCCTTGTTCGTCCCTATCTACACCCTTTGATTTACCATACTTTCATGTTTGCCTGTTATCCTCGTACACAATTCTCTCATATCTCGTTCTCCTGCAGCTTGTTGCACTGTCTCTGTCAGATATTCTGCATATTTCAGCTTGTCAGCCCTAATTTTCTCCTCCACTAGCTCGTTTGCTTCCATAAATTCATTCACCCTGTGGCTTAAACTACTGGGTTGTTGTTTGCCTGTTGTTGACTACTGTCTTCTTGCTTTCCTCTCTTCAATCGTGTCCGAGTTACCCATACAGGTCCATTCGTTATGGTGGTGGTGGTGGTGGTGATTGTGGGGGCTCAACACCTACTCACATGTCGAAGTTGTTTGTTTCATGACTCTCCGGTTGCTCTCCGTAGTGTTTTCGTCTTCCTCACAATGGTTCTTGTGTGACTTGGAACACATTGCCATCAGCTATCTTGAATTCTCAGAGGTTGTTAACATGTCGAAGAAGGACCTTATTAGTCTTTTGTAGTTCTGTTTGTTCAACTACTAAATGCTTGTTTAGCTTCAGTTATCGGTCGGTCAACATCAGGTGCTGATCTGAAGCTCCATCAAATCGTACGGGTCATCTGAAATTTTCACTTGTCAACATGTAGTCAGTTTAACTTTCCGTAGTGTGGAAACCCATAGGTGGAACCGATGTAGTTTTATCTATACATTGTGGGATAAAGTTCTACAGCCTGTGACCATGTTGTGGGAATCACACCAATCAACCAGTCTCTCACTATTCTCTTTTCTTTCTCCCAGTTCACGTCACTATAGAATGTGTTCATACCCGATGTTATCTATCCTGATTTTGATGTTGGTGTATCCTATCGGGATGGTCATGTATTTTGCATGACTTTTGTCTAGGACGTACTTGTAGCCTCTCATGGAGTTG